TTCCGAGTCCCGGGCTGTCCCGGTTTATAGTCACACGGTAGACACATCCGTAGCACGGATGAATAAAGAAAACTTCGTTAACCGCGCCTGACCGACTGACCAACTAACTCTCGTTAACGATTCGCCCCTAGACCGAGAATTATACCTCGCAGTGGCGTTTCTACCCGCGACAAAGATAGCGACGCGACAACGTGGTTTAACCACCTGAAACTCGCGGCTCTAGCCGCGACTTCTCGGAACGCGGCTCGTACAGCGGAGCGGAAATCACCTTTCGTTTGCAAACTAACGACAAATGAAGACGTTTTCCTTAAGCTAAAATCCATATCGAAAGACTCGCGTAGACGATAGACGGACGACGGTGGGTGTCGGCGGCATCTCCGTGCGTACAACTCGCGCGGAACAGGGCGATACGGAGGGGGAAAGGGGGTATAATTAATCACCAAGAGCGATTATTAATTGACGCGGGTGCGAACGGTCAATCCGGGGGCTAACTGACTCCGATTAGCGATTTTAGCTGCCTCATTCCAGATCATCGGCCCTGTATTGTAACGGGAGAGGGTGGGAAAAATACTTGGACGGTCGATTAATCAACGTTGGCGCAAACCGGGCACGTAATCGCGCCGCTCGCACCTCTCGTCGTCGGTTCGCCAAGTTGGGCGCGCGGCGGAGTCTTTAGCGGAAACAAAGGGGAGATTAGCGCGCGCGCGCGGATTACATCGAACACGGATTTTGCGGGAGGGTAACTCGCGCGAGATATTACGGTTGGATCACGGCTTCGTCTTAACGGCGCCGCCGCCGAGTCAAAGTTCCGGCTAATATAATTTTCATCGGTGGAAGGAAGCTTTCGCGCGATGCCGTAACGCGGGGACGGGACGGGACGGCACGGGGCGGGCCGAGACGGGAAGGGGTTGAACGCCAAAGTCCCGTATTGTCCGCGACGTCGGCGTTGAACCGTATCTGAAACGCGATATAGCGAAAAGTCCCCGAATAGCTTAATACCTCGGCGGAGCGGGAGCGAGACTCGACGCGGGTTCCCGTTCCGTGACCCGCGAATAAAAAGGAGGAAATGTTACACAGGGTGTCCCAGATTTTCAGGCCGGTGCGGCGCGGCGCGGCGCGGCGGCGGAGATTTTTAGGCAAACTTTTGGAACCAATATTTTTCCACCGGAAAAATCCAATTGGCGCATTTGCTCCCCCGGACGGGGAGGGGGTATTGAACTGGATTTTTACATTTTTAAAAATCCTGATGAGCGAAACGGTGAATATTTATAATGCGCGTTCGACGGAAAAAAAGAAAGGGGAGAAAATTACGATGCGCCGTCGGGAGGGGGTTACATCTCCGACGTGCTGAAAATGCATCGAAGGGTTAAACGAATTGGCACTGCGCTGAGCTCGATTAAATTATCGTTGAATTTATATTCGTTCCATCGCGGAGCCCTCGTTCGCTCGCTTACGACGTAATAAATGCGAGAGTAGTGACAATAGTCCCCGCCCTCGCCTCCCCCTTTCGTCCTTACAATATAATAAGCGTGAAAGTGGTGATAACAGTTTCTGCCCCGCTCACGGAGAATAAAAAGGCTTCGTAAGCCTGAACCGGAAGCGCGGACACCGGCCCCCGTATAAAATGTCGAGAAATACGATATGTTATCGGGTCTCGATCCACCCATTACTCAATTATCCCATTATTATCGTGTCCGCTGTAAATTATTAGCTTCTTCAACATTGTAATTTATGATCCTTTCACGTGAAAATATTATACATGTAAAAGGCTACACCGCCGATTAAGGGTTGAAGGGTCTATCTTGAAAGATTATCCCTCAAGGGGTGGCATAAAGGCACGCTGTACGGCCTGCTCGATTTAACCCTCGTAAAGATCACCCCCGCGACGCGCGCGCATAATATTTACAGATTCGGACATTGTACACTTGCGGGAGGCGGGAAACGGTATAATTTCGAGTATCGCGCCCAATTTTCCGCGCTACGGAAAAATAGATTAGTTTGATGGCGATCGTCGTAAATGAATAACTTTTGCGTCCCTACGGCCCGCGTTTGTTCTCGAGATTTGTGTAATTCGAATTTCACGCGCATTTCGAAATAAATTTTTCACGTAAAAATTTACCTCGAAATTCATCGCCCGGCATTTCATCGGAATTAAACCGGTTCCGAACCTCGAACGTTTTCACGACCGGCGCGATTCGTGTAAAGTAGAAACCTCCATCGCGCTTGGAAGAACGGAGCTCCCTTCGTTGCACTCTGCACGCATCCCTCGCGTGCAATTACGTCCCCAATGGATCATAATCCAGCTCGTCGTATAATTCAGTGCCAGAATTCAGATTCGCGTACGCGAATTAAGTCTTGTTAATTAATCGCAAATCTTCGCAGCCGTACATCGATTGGGATTATTCAATTAGCAGGATTAGTACTTGACGAGGAAGAAATCGTACAACCGCATTCGACGTCGAGACCGGAAGGGTCCGGCGAAAAATTTTCCATCCCCTAATGCGATCTTTAATTATCGGTCGCGAGGGTGTGTGTGCGCTCGCGCGCGTGATTCTCGATTTGAAATTTGCGCAATTCTCAAAATAAACGCAAAACTTTACGCTTCACTATCTACCGCACGAAGATTGCATCTGCACCTAACAGTCACAATGCTCTCTCGTATGTATACTAAACATCAACTATTTTAAGGCCATTTTATGGGGGGAGTCGCGCGGAATCGTACAGCATCAGCGAAAACCACCCTTCGTTTCTTTCGCCTCCCCCCCCACTCCCCCCTCGCCCGACTGAAATTCGATACGATCGCGATCCCGTTTCACATCTCGTCATCGGAGATTGATACCGGGTGTAACTTCAGCGAGTTCAATTCTCTCGATATCGCGGATACGGAAAAATAAACCTTACGGCTATCGCAGCGTTGTTTCTGTGAAAAAAAAAACACACACATACACACACAGAGGTATCACTTTCGCGTGCAGCCAGTAGCGATATTTGATCTTGCGAAAATTGCAACGGTCTCGCGATCCCTGATCAGCACGAAACTATAAAAAAAGCGACCGCTCGCTTTTTCATTTTGTTGCAACAACTTCTTTCTTGCATGACAGTTAATAATAGGAGACGAAACGATCCCAGACTCATTCTTCCTCGCGCGACTCGCGGAAATTTCGCGATAATCTTCAATCGCGCACACACCGTTTCGCTCGATCGAAAGCTGACTTTTCCGTGTGGACGCAGGTAATCCTCGTAAAAATGTGAATTCATATATTCCTGGTAATCTCAACTTGTTAAATGACTATTTAAAAAAAAAGAAGAGAAATTACTACGCGCTGTAGGATATTAAATTACCGCGGTACGGAATCTGAAGCGCATTTTATCGCGCGACGTTGTCTCATCGCGCGCGTGCAACGCTCGATCAATCCTTGTGCGCGATCTTAACGAATAAATGACGAAGAGCAAAACTACCGTAATCTTATTGTCGTCTCGTACGTCCTGCGACATTTCCGCGCGCAACACAATCGCCGTCCTCCCGCGGTTAACGCGTGCCGCTTAAATTGCCGCGTAAATTATCACGCGCGAAGAATCGGAGTCTTGAACGAACGATCACGGCGGGAAAGAGCGACTCCACGGTTTTCCCGTACCCCACATTTTTCTCTCTTTCCGTCCGTGCCGCTCGCGGTCGGTGCCGGTAAATTTCGCTCGCTCGCTCGCTCGCGACGTTAAACGTCACACTCTGTAAATCTAACCGGTTGACCGAAATCTACTTGCACGGGGTAATTATTTGGTGGTATCGTTTATTTGATCATACAAAAGACGCTCGACCTCCTTTCTCGCCCTCTCCGGCTACCCTAAACGCAAAAGGAAACGCAATTCGATAGACCGAACACATTTTCGTCCCGGTAAAACGGAAAAAGATACACATAAATTAACAATAAAGGATAAAAAAATAAAAATTATAATCGACAATAATATATATTTTTTATATAATAGTGCAATCAATACGTTATGTATATATATATGTATATATATATCTGTACGTATATATATATAATATATATAGAATGGTCAAGTTAATATTTACACTATACGTACTTCTACTGATTTTTGCGGATCCGTGTGTTTGCACAACAATCTTCGTATGCTCTTAATCTACCTAGCTTCTCTACCGCACCGGTATGGGGCTATGGCAACTAACGTAATAATGGCAAGTACTTGCTTGACGGAAAAGTCGAGACAGCCGATACTTGACGGTGGTGCAAGTACAGACTTTGCGTGGGATGCGATCGAGGGAGACCGACGGGATCGAGGCCGATTTTATCTCACTTTGCGCAACACCGATAAATATACCGCGCGCGCTGCTCTTGCATCCTCGAAATTAAATAACTCGTGCCCGACGTATTTTCTCTTTGCGTTATTTCGACGAAGACACTTTTAAATTATTCGGGCTAGCCACACTCTGTACACGGCGAGACGCCGATTATCCGGATATAAAAAAAATGGGGACGCAGAGGGAGGGACCTACATAGCGCATCCGTTATCGATTATCCGCGCGAAATTTTCGCACGAGGAAAAACACAAACAACGTATAATATCAAAAACAAAAAGCAATCATGATATAAATGCAAAAAATATTCATATAAATTTCCGCATAAATATTTTATATAAAAATAGAGCGTTTCAATGGAATTATAAGAGCGAAAAAATTTCTCCTTGTATTTTTTTTCCCCTACAGATATCGATCGACCGGAAGAATCGGCGTTCAGGATAATCGGCGTCCGAACAACTGACGTTCTACCGTACAGCATTTCGAGACTTTATGCGAAACGCGCTTATTGCTCGCGAACTAAGCCGATTAGCTCGATAATCCGGCACGCACAAACAACGTAATTGCCACGTTGTTCCGCAAGCTCGTTTCGCTTCGTTTCACGTCTAGAACTCGGGCTCTTGGCAGATACGAATTTTTCTCCCCATTTCACTTTGCCCTTCTTCACCCAATTTTTTTTCCCTTTTCTGTCGCGAGACGCCCGCGCTCCTCTCGCTCTCAAGATTTCGCATAACATATCGTGAAACCACAATCGTCACTTTGGTGGAAACGTGCGATAAAGCTCTATCTAGCGTCAGCGGATCTTACACGCGGAACTGTGAAAATGACAAACACAACTGGGAGGGCGGGGGGTGGAGGATGGGGTTTTGCTATTGCTGTGATCTCGAGTCTTATCTCTAATACATTCAACAACTAGAAACAGAGAAACACTGGAATCGTGCCGCAGCCGAATATGAAAGTCTCGACCCACTCTGTGTGTGTGTGTGTGTGTGTGTTTTGTACGTGGAAGTTCTTTGTGCAAACCTATTTTTACCTATCTCTCGCGTCTAGTGCGTGTGTTGTGTGTGTGTTCCTCCTTTCTCCCTTTCCTCGCTTTTTCCCTTTTTTTTTGGAGTTTTAGGTCACGAGGGTGTAAGCCGTAAAACGCGTACGCTCGAGCAGGCGGAGTGTGGAAGCAGTCGGGAAGTTATTATACGAGTCCACGAATCGCTCGCCGCTTGGTTACTGCCTCTCATCCTACAACGTACATACATATATACACGGCTGCTGCGCAAAAACAATGTGTTCGAAACATTACTCAACATACATACTTGGGGGAAGTGCGCGGAGAAAAAGAACTCGCCGGCACGGCCGAATTTGTCACTGTCGCCGGTGAGTTTCGTTAGTTGTTATACTATCAGCGGCAAAAAGACTCCCGACTGAGGAAGAGACGCTGATGCCGCTCACTAGAAACGGCTCTCTGCGATTCTAATTACAGAATCGCGAAACGGTTCTCGAGGCACTTTCGCTGCGTTAACAGCACCTTTGCAGCCCGATATTTCTCGAGTTTCACGCGGAAGATCCGCGTCGCGGATCGTCCTGCTGCAGTGACAAACGAATCGCAACGTTCTCGCCGACGGGGAAAATTTTGTACGACATTCAACAAGCGATTATTATTTCAATGTCGGGAGATATAAGAGACAAAGTCTCGTTGAATCGCTGAACGGATAACGGCAGTGACATTTTCCGCGGTGACGGGGAGTTGCTCCTTCTCTCGCACGTGCACGTGAGGGGGTAGAAATCGCAGAAAAATGCTCCCCTCGCGTATTCAGGAGAGGAGGGAAAAACGGCTCCGCACGGACGATGATAAATTTATATCTCCGAGGGCTTCGTTTCATTCTACCTCGGAAGAGAGATAAAGAATGCGTGCGCACGCGATTCTCTTTTCGGCTCGACTGCTTCGATCGAAAATATAAAAAAAAAAACAAAGAATGTATTTACAAAATACATACGTCTTTGCAACACAGTCATGTATACACAATAAAATAATTCGGTCCAAGAGTAAACGCAGAACATCCAGTGTTCAAACTCAATCAATAATTTATAAATTTCGATAAATAATTCGAAACATAATTTGATAAGTAACCTCTATGATCACACGTCCAATTTAGAGAGCGGCGTAAACTCTGATCGATAATTCCGACAGGAGAGAAAGAGAGAGAGAGAGAGAGAGAGAGAGAAAAAAAAATCGAAAACCATTTGTAAGCGCGTGCCCGGCAAAGTAATTGCAATATAATTCGATCGCATATACTGTCTTCCGTTGCATCGCCGCTATTCTTCTGCAGTTTCTCCGCTTCGAACGTCGGACAGAAAAAGATCCACGAACTTTCGTCAAATGAACAATTATTAAACAAAACAACATACCATACGTTATATCACTCAAGAACCCAAAAGATTCGATATACACATCTCATCTTTTCCCATCCTTTAAGTTTAATGCAACACGCTGCGAAAAATGCCTTTCACTTAATATCTTCTATTCCATTCAGTACTATTTGTAGATATATACATATCATATATGTTACGTATCAGAGATATAGGTATATAAATACATATACATATATGTATGTACATATATACATCCCCATATCTCTGACACAAAATCTGCGAAAGATAAATTTAATCTCAAGGTAACTGAATGTGTATATGAATAAAATATTTCTGATATAAATATGTATACTTATATACATACATATATATCAGATATTTCCCATTCAAAATTCTTTTGTTCGACTGTTGTAGCACTAAGCTATACAGCGCTTCTGTATGTATATTGGTGTGTATACGTATGTATATATACACATTTAAATGTATATATTTATATATTATCCTCCTGAGTCGGTAAGCTGAAAGGCAATTTTCATGCGCCTCCTTGCCGTACACGACATACAAAAGATACCACAGAATATACACATAGAATAACGAATTACGTAGTTAAATTCCGAACAAAATTCACAATAACGATGTCTCACGACAGTCCGCTCCTCTCTACTTATCTATATATGTATACCATTTGCGTAAATAAAGGTGATTTCGGTCTAAAATTATATCGCTAATAGGCGCTTCCTTTCCTCGCACGGGAGCGCGCGCGCCGCTCCCGGAAAAATTACATTGTTACAATAAGGTAATTAGACTTCTTTTACTCACTAACGTAATAATTAAAAAAATCTGATTACTCTGAAAAATTCGAGATTACTTTTTAAAAACTGTTCCTCGGACAGTACATCTTTTATTTCGAACGCTCAACTCTGCCTCCGTTTTCGTTTCTTTCCATTTTGTTTTTTTTTTCACTGGTATACACCGTCGTACGTTCCCGCGTATACGCACTCTTTTTTTCTTGTTCACTCTTCCCTTCCTGGTTTCAATTTTATTCAATTAGTTTTCAATATTTATCCTGTTCTTTTCATGCACTTCGCCCGTGTAGGCGGCAACTTAGGACCATCACATAATTCACCATCGCGATTGATGGAATCGGTTACGCGTTAATTACAAGGTACGTTTACGTCGAAAAATTAGAAGCACGTTTACTTTTATTTTGATTATTCCACCTGTGTGAGTTTTGTATATCACATATTTTAGACATTTGTTTTCCGGTGTGTCTTGCAGATCTTTGTCGCGTTGGTTTGCCGGCCTCTTCGTTCGTTTCCCCCTCGTTTTTCCTCCTTGAGATTTGTACCGCGTAGATTCGACAAGTCGACGAAGTTGCGCCTGATGATACGTAAATGATCGTGACGTTCCGTGACCCCGTTGGTTTACAGTTCTTTACTTTCCCTTTTCCTTCTTTTTTCTTTGTAAATTCGATTTCCAGTTTTGCAATTCCGAGTGCGACACTCACACTGCTTTGCGTTCCTTTTATACACTGATACGATCAAGTCCCCTTTTATTAGAGTCGAGTGCAAATTTTATCTATACGTTTCACGTTCTTTCATTGCGGATTGATACTTCTGTTCAAAAGTAGATAATATGATTATATTAATCGCTCTCGGCGTTACTACTGCTTCGCGTTTGATATACACAATTTACATTCCGGATACATTGTTTCACACTGTGCGAACTTACATTTCGTCTTATCTATGTTATCGCGGCTCCCGTTTAGAGTTTTAAGCAGTTTATTAGAGCGTATTACGAGGCGTCGAGTGTCATTTATGGCGTATACACACGTTTCTCTTCTTCTCCCCTTCGTTTTTACAGCACTGCACTCTTGTTATTATGAAGATTTTTAAGGATTGTAGAACCTCAATAAAAAGGTCACGTGAAAAGTTCGATTTACGATTAGCCTAGCGTTTTCCCTCGTTTACACATTTAAATTAATTTGATATACCTAATATGATACTGTATGTTTTACACATATGAGGGCTTTCTTTGTTACTTTATTACTATCGCCTTCTCGGCGATGCGATTGCCGAGTTCTTTATTAGCCTTGATTGTAGAAAGAAGCAATCGTCTCTTTCAAAAATCTTTAACAAGAACCAATCGAAGATAACACTTGCGATAAAACTAATACAAATGCACTCGCACCTGCATAATCATCTTGTAATTTTAATAGACTCAGAAAAAAGATAACCAATCCAATTACATATTCAAAACATTTATACATTAAGGAATAAGTTATTTCATTATAAAAGAAAAACTTATCTGCGCGTAATGTAACGTAATAATTGTCCGTCATGAAAATGGAATATATCCTTGTAAAAGGGAAGAGGAAGAAAATTAAAGCAAATAATAGAAGTAAAGATGGCAATTTCGATAAGAAAACTAAGTGACAATAATATTACATTATCGTTAAAGTAATATTATTGACGCACAGCGATTTACACGACTCATATTCTCGTAATATATTATATATTAACAATAAAAACAAATTTATCATAATAAATAGAATTTCTTTAAAGAATAACAAACACGACATAATGACGAGTGTGTGAAGAGAAGATTATAATAAAGAACTCGGCAATGGATTTACTGCGCGTGCTCGCAATATTACTGGACTTACGGCTCTAAACATTGTTTGATTGTTTAAATTATTTTAGGTTAGTTCCTAGTTGACCATAAGTGTATGCGATTCCATAGGCGCCGCACTATCGTACAACGTGTCCGTGTCTTGCGTAGGTTCGCCCTGCAGCTGACACTGATTGCTCAACGTTCCGGCGCCGCAGTCGCAAAAGAATCTAAAAGCATTAAAGCAGACGATTACATTACGCTTATTCCATCTAGGGCGCGCCTAAAAATAACGCACGAAATTAGACGCGCGAGCTCACCGATCGTGTCTGATGAACTCGACGTCGTGGCCAGCGTGACAAGTTTTTATACAATTGACGCATATCGCATTGCGATCCGTCGTGTTGCACGTTTGACAACGGTAAAAGTCGTGCATGGGGAAGGATGTGTACGATGAGATCTTGTATAGACATTGGCCGTTCCCAACTGCCTTCTCCACCGCGTCTTGGTTATTAAATATTTTATTGCCTAAAAAGAAAAGGAAAAGGAGTGCGCGTGCGATAATCTCTCGTTAGAAGCGCCGGGTGCCGGCCACCGGAAGCGAGTATTTACCTCTAGTCGTCGGTTGCACCCCGCTCGCCAGACACAGACCGCCGAATCGATTATTGAATATTTGATTGAATTCCAGGGTGGCCGTGGCGTTGTTAGTTATTTCGACGCCAGCTGCCAAGCCGTCGAAAATCCGGTTCCTCCTCAGGATCGGCTGCGATTGCGTCGATATAAGCACGCCCGCTTGTGCATTGCGAAGTATGTCGTTCTCCTCCAAAATACCTGTATCGAGACGCGATCACCATTACAATTTTTCCGTGAGATTATTGCGTACCCTTTATAACGATCGCAATATTAAAAAAATTATTAAATGGAATCATAAATTTTTCAGATCGATTCACTCGCAATGTATTTCAATATGCGCTTTTTCAGCCGGCATAAATTTGCGTAAAAGCGGACAAAATACGCTATCCGCGAGAGAAAAGAATAAACTATTTAAAAGAATGTTGTATGTAATATTTATATTGTTGTGGAACACGACTGACAAGTCATTGCCAAAATTTGGCTAAAAAGAGACCGCTTTACCTTTGCCCCCGTTAAATATACAGATTCCGCCATCCCGTCCGTCGTATATCTTGTTCCTTTTAAGAGTCGGATTGCTGTCGGTCTTAATCCAGACGCCAGCCATCGCATTGTCAAAAATCTCATTTTGTTCGAGTAAGCCTAAGCCACTATTATACACTAGAACGCCACCGTTTTGTCCTCCCCATATTTTATTACCGCGTATTACCGGATTACTGCCAGTCCTGAAACACGCGTTCGGTCGGTGGTTTTTCTTACATACACATGAAAGCTTCCAGGCCTGTTCGGAAGTAATAATTACCTTATTTGTACTCCTGAATACAAGTGATTAAAAATATCATTGTCCTCCAATTTCCCGTGGCCGTTGTCGTAAAAATATACGCCGACCTGCTTGCCACTGTGAATTCGATTTCGCCTCAAAACGGGCGTCGAGCCCGTCGTGATCCACACGCCCGCCAAAGTATTGGCGTACACCTCGTTCTCCTCGATCAAGCCCTGGCCCTTTTCGTGCACGTAAATCCCGCCGTGCTGACCGTGGTGTATCTTGTTATGCCGGACGATCGGATCCGAATTTGTTCTGATTTGTATACCAGCTAATGCGTTGCCGTAGATGTTGTTATGCTCGATCAAACCTCTACCCTCGCCGAATATATACACTCCACCTTGATGGCCATTATATATTTCGTTCCGACGTATAGTCGGATTAGAGTTCGACGTGATCCATACACCAGCAAAATTGTTGGAATGAATCTTGTTGTCGATGAATTGTCCCAGGCCGTTCTCGTGTACGTAGATACCGCCAGTCTGGCCGTGATGGATCTCGCAGTGAACAACGGTAGGATTAGCGCCGGCTTTCACCTCGAAACCCGCTATCCGATTGTCGTGAATGTCGTTAGCCTCGAAGTAACCGAGCCCGTTGTCGAACGTGAATATTCCGACATCGCGACCGTGATGGATATGATTCCGCCGCATGATGGGATTCGCGTAATTCTTCACCCAGATGCCAGCCAGGGCGTTCCGCGAGATCTCGTTGTCCTCGTACGTGCCCTGGGCATAGTCGGTCACGTACAGTCCGACGTTCTCGCAATCCGATATGTCGCAATTCTTCACTAACGGATTGGCACCCACTCCGGACACGCAGACCGCCGCACCAACTACAAGTTCAAAATATTTATATTGTGTAAAATACGACATTTGAAAATAACTCGCTTCATCCTTTCCAATGTATGCAACGTACGTTCAACATTTTGTAATTTTGGCTGCGGTCAAGCTGTCGCTTCGAATGTTACGAAGCATTCGTCTTCTCTTTTCTTTTGAGTAAAAACAGAAAGAGAGACGAAACGCTTCGAAGCGTTTGCAGCGGCAGCTTGACCGCAGCCTTTGTTACAAAGTCATAGAGATTTATTTAAGTTTTCGGCGACAATTCCAAGTCTTGAGTTGTAAATTTTGGTCCGAGCATTTTCATTAAACGCCAATTCAATCCGTGAAAACCTCGAGCGCGCACTTACCAACGCTCGTGCTTCTGATGATGCAGTGATCGACGGTGGGACTGCAATTCTCGCCAACCTCCAGACAATAGTGCTTATGATGTGGCACCGTACTCGTCACGTCGGGCGTGAACTTCAAGGTGAGATGTCCAGCGTAAGCACGCTTCGCACCTTCCACAAACATTACCGTCGACTCGCTCTCCCGTTCCAGAATCACGGATTCTGCGACATTTCCCGGAGCGGCACCGATCAGCGCAACATCGCTATCGATCACGAGAAACTCTCCTCTATACGTGCCGGCGTGTAAAAAGACCAAGTGCTGCGTCGAAGTGTTCTCCCCGCTCGTCTGCGAATTGCTATTGCAACAACCCTGCCCGCTCGCGGCCGTAGCCCCGCTGCTCGCCGAGGCGTTGTTGGTCTTGAACTCATCGACGTAATCCAGCGCGCCCTGGACCGTGTTGAAATACAGCAGATTACGGCCCTTGAACTTCAATTCCTGAAAGCCGGGCCGCACGTGCGAGCCTCGGTATAGCTGCCTGAAGCTCTCCTTCCACGGATTCTGGTACTCGGACTCGTCCGGCGAAACAAACTCGAATTTACACGGCGCTGGATTGAACAGCGGCAAATCGTACTCGTAGACCTGCTGGTACAGCGACTTCCACAGCTCCGTGTCGTTCGCGATCACTTGAAAGCGCTTACAGACCTGCGACACTCGACAAAGGTCTTGCTCCATAAGGTAATTGAATATCGTGAGCAGCACCTCGTCCGGTAGCTCGTACTGGAGGTAATGCGCCGCCGTGTTCGTGTTTATACCTGTCGCGAGAAGTCAAAGTTAGTGGGGCCTAGCCAACTCGGAGTTGCTCCAAATTTACACGTCAAGAAACGAGCAATGACGTTAAACAGGATTTTTACGTATACATAAGGGGATCCTCGAGTGCCTTGCACTTTTCTTGCACCTAGAGCTCTATCAATTGAAACACTTGTGTAATACACAAATGTTGTCACGAAGTGACGGTTCTAGGTGCAACAGGTACAAGGCACTCCAGGAATACACGTGAATCCTTTGTCTCTCGACACGTGGGGCGGCTCCTAGCTTCCTGTCGAACGTTAGCAGTCGCCTCTCGGGACGTACCATCCGTGGACAGTGAACATGTTCGTCTCGGCCGTTTCCTCGCCGGCAGGGACGACGAGCCGAAGGTAGCGGCGATGCCGCCCGAGGGCGGCAGGGCGGAACTCGTGCCGGGCGCTGGGTCTGGATGCGGTGGGCTCTTGCGCCTCAGGTCGTACGGCGACGAGTGCGACTGGGGCGACGGCGAGGGAGCAGCGATTCCGGATACACTAGGGGACGAGCCTCGTGCGCCACTTCCTCCGCCTCCACCGCCAACTACTACTGGAACGAGAGGATTGATCGTCGGACACGGCAGATCGCATGGCTCGGCTGAGAACACAAAAATCGTCATCGTTAGAAGAAAGGAGGGCGAGAGGCAGAAGGGTCGAGGGCTTCTCCCGTGAACCTCGGCGCGCGATGAGGTCTCGCGGGAGATTCGCCGAAGAGAAGAGAATCGGTTTTCGAAAAGGAAGAGTTTTCTCGGACCGCGCATTTCTAGAGATTCAATTCGCGGGATAGAAGAGGCATGGAAAAAGCTCTCTCTCTCTCTCTCTCCGATACCCTTTGCGCGAACGCGAATAAGCTTGTGTAACGTTATACTTGTATTATCATTAATACAGTTGTACATGACATTGTAAACAAAAGGCATTTGCGGCTGCGTGTGCAAACATTCGCTATGTAATTTATAGTAAGCCGGGGATCATTAGAGAAATTTGCATGGTGACACAAGGTGGCCTTGTTTTACAAATGCAGCGGCATAAATTGTCAAGTGTATAGTGTCGCGGGCCCGCATGGAGAATTAAATAAAGAGCAACGCTGCGATCACGTGCATCTCGATATAATTGTTGACATTATGCGAGTCCAATTACACGTCGCGACGCGCGACGACCGACGTCGCCAGCGACGAGGAAAGAAAATCCCCGGCAAAGTCGTCGGTTCGATTTCCGTCAAAGTGTACCCGCGAAGTCGAGCGCGCGTAGAATTCCCGGGCGTTCCCGCAAAATGTCCAGGCGCGTACCTTTCCCCGATAACGCGATTAAGCGCGAACCGGTTCGTCTGTTTCAAAGTAACCGAGCGCAAAGTCGGCGAGGAAGCTCCGGCGGAAGGCCCGGCCTCCTCTCCGATCGGCGCCGAATCGTTATCGCGCCGACGAGCGGATCGTCGCCGTCGTCCGCGGCCCATTCCGGCGCCTCGACGTTTCACTTTCTAGGCTGCCCGACGACACACACACACACGGCGGACGCACGCGGCGCACAGTGGTAGGGCGCTGCTGCCCGTAGGGATCCGCGAGACGCGCCGATTTCGGGGATCTCCTGCCTCCCCCCCCCGGTCCGGGGATACGTCTCGATCACGTTTCCGGGTCACGCCGAGTCCTCTCGCGAAAGTGGAGCACCGGTAACTCATCACTCAAAAGAACGCGCGCCGGTGCCATGCCGGGACGGTCCTCTCCCACCTTCGCTTCCGTTTCTCGCCCGCCGCGAAAAAGGTCCCTTTAAACGCCCACGCCTCTCGGCGAACGCGCCCGTGGGCGATTCGGCGATCTCGGGACTCGCGGGCGACCCGTTACCGGTTAGGATTAACACCGAGGTTTCTATCGGGCGACACCGTTTTCGTCTCCCTTATCTAGTTTCACAACGCAACGTACGCGAGCACCCGGACACCTGACTGCCTGCGATACCGAACGCGCGTCATTGCATTCGAGCTTAATTGTAATCGATTCTCTGACGATTCTTTCGCGGGCGATACGTTGTTGCTTTTCACTTCTCCAAGTATTTCAGGTACGAGCGCGCGAATAGTCGGCCTGAACGATAATTAAACCTCTACGGATTTTGCAACGCGCAGCCTCGACGCTCTCAAGAATCAAGTGGAAAGGTCGGGGGACGATAAACGAGAAAATATTACAAATCACGTTCAATACGATTAATTATCGTCTAATTAAAAGAGGCCAACGAGACGTTTTCAACCGCGCAGTCGTTAAACAAAAAAGAAGATAACATAAAGGAAGATTAGGTCGCGACTAATGTAATAAATAAAAGTAAATAGCGCTGAAACTGAGCTGGTCCTAACCGGATAAAGAAAGGAGAGAGAAGATAAAGAAAACCGGATAAAATATAAAAAAAAGTAGCACATAAAAAGCGAAGATTAGCCCCGAGCCTCGAGAATATTTGCTCGCTCGTCCTCCCATTCCGCCTCCGTCTGTTCTCTCCCCTCCTCCTCCTCCTCCCGCTTCTCTCCCGCTCCCTCTATCTCTCTCTCTCGGACCGCCGGAAAATTCGGCACCGATCGACGCGTATCCCGCAAGCTGCGCCGCGTTCCAGCTGAATCGCTGGCGATTGAACGAAACGAGCGAGAGGAGAAAGAGAGAGAAGAGGAAAAAAAAGAGGAACGCGGGGAGGGAGAGGGCGAGCCGCCGGCATTCCGGCGGATTGATCGCGAGGCGGAGAGATCGCGAATCGATACGATCGGCGAACCGCGGAGAGACGTATGGTACCGCTCCTGCACAGAAGCAGACGTTCTCCAACGGAGAGAGAGAGAGAGAGAGGGAGAGCGCGAGAGCGCGCGGGGGGAGGGAGAGGGGGCGCGATATTGCGTTACAATAAGGGTCGCGTTCCCTCGGCGAGTATCGCCGCGTGGGGTCGTTCAACCCTTATTATATTATAGCCCGCGGAGACACACGGCCCTGGCGCGGGTATTATCGCAACGGTGATCCGCTCCGCGAGTACGCGGGCGCTTCGCACGCTCCATCTTCTCGCGCCCTCGCGATTTTCGGAATTCACGGCTCGCGCCGTTCAAGGCCGACGGGGCTTTCGGCGATCCGGACGTCGGTCGTCGTCGTCGTCGTCGTCGCCGTCGCTCGACTCCCATTGTTTACCCATGGGCGACGCGTCGTAGGGGACGCCGCGTTCCGCGGCTCATCCGGAGAGAGAGGAGAAAAGGAAAAAGAAAGTGTCGCAACCTCTCCGGCGGGTCCACGGCCGTGTGGGGCTCCGTACCCGTGGACGCGCAGCCGCCAATCAGGAATTATTCACAAATACAGTGGAGCAATATGGCCGTTAGCGGCTGCCAATCGGAAATTGCCCGCAAATCCGAAAAGCATCGGATCTCTCGCCACGGGGGCCGCGGACGGAGCGGCTGGCTCCGGGGGAGTCGGCCGGTCGGACGGCGTCGCGACGGGCCCTGGCGTCGGGGCTGTCAAAACGCGGCCCCTTTGTCGCCCGCGCAGCTGCGACGCGAGCCCGGAGCGGAGTCGCCCGACTGACAGTCTCGCCACACTCGACGCTCACCTAACCTCAGCTGCGACGCAGCGTACAAGATACTCCCGGAGCAGCTATTATAAACATACGCGCGGCGGCGGCGGCGGCGGCTCGCGAGCGTTTACGACACGGGCCGCCTGTCGCGCCGCGATTACTAGGCGAACGATCGCGCCCGATGCTTCCACCGAAAGAAAAGGAAAGGAAAAAAAAATCAGCCTTTCCTCCCCTTTTCACGCCGGACACGGGCGGCTTTGAGGTCACCTCTTTCATGCACCTTTCCAAATTCTACCGTTCCGCGCGAGAGCCAGGCTCCGGGGGGGAGGGGAGCAGGGGGGGCGGGCAGGAACGGGAAGGGAAATCGGGGAACGAGGAGACCGTGGGAGAGTCGCGGAGAGAAACGGGCGGACGGGCAGAGAGCGAGGGCGAGCAGGAAACGCGGCGCGTGCGGACGCGTACACGTAGGCCCGGGGAGGGGAGGGGGGGAACAAAGGCGCGACGGAGATGGCGGAGTCCGGGAATGGGGAGACCGTGTCGCGCGCCCCGCGTACGAGGTGT